CCCTTCATTAGACTTCCTTCTATGTTTGTAATGATTTGGGGAGCTGAGTACCGTGTGGTGCTGTGGGCTAATGCATCAGACGGCAAAGTCATTTGAACTGCAAGGTCAGTGGTTCAAGTTCATCAGCTGCTCCTTGGAAACCCTATATAGGGCCGCTATGGGTTGGAATCGACTCAACAAGCACTTAACAACTTATGTTTTTAAAGAGGAACTAACTTGTTCCCTTGACAACAAAGAGATAGCTGATAGAAAAAGAGAGAAAATAGAACTACAGTATTATTAGAAACACCTCCTTAGTTGTTTGTTGTTGTTAAGTGCCATCGAGAAGTTCTGACTCACAACGATCCTGTATAGGGTTTCCAAGTAACAGCTGGTGGGTTTGAACTGCCGACCTCGGGGTTTGTAGTCTAGTGCTGAGCCTAAAGCGCCATAGCAGGTGTCCATACTTAGTTGTTTAGGGACCAACATTTTGCCATAAAGAAGTGAAATCATCATTGTATTAAATGTTACTCTTCATATATGACATAGAATTACTACCAAGTGCTCCCAGTTTACCTTTCCTGGCTTCACCTGTAGTCTCTACACACTTCTGTTAGGTGATACTGAGTCACCTGTGGAGAAGCCTCTAGGGACGTGACAACACTGTGAGATATATCCAGGTATGTTAGCCTCACTCCCCTTGCTCTGCCCACCAGTTAATGCTTCATAATTTGTTCCCAGGTTTTTCCTCTCTTCCTTTTCCTTCCCATTTCTCTATTCTATACTTGTCTTCTTCCTTTAGCTCAATCTTTATCTTTACTATACTCCATTTCTTTAACTTTCTTTCTTCCCTGCCCTTCTCTATCTACCCCCAACTTCCAGGCATGGGTCCTCCTTGCCTCTTGCTTTCCTCAGGGAGAATCCACCAGCAGGCAGGACAGGGTGGACACATGGAAAACTTTAGCAGGCTGGTCACCTCCATCAATTCAAATTGAGATTCCTGGTCTAGTTCCTGTTTATCATAGATGTGGCTGAGGTTTTGGGGAAGGATAGCACGCACTTTTTCCTCTATTATCTCAGGAAGCTCAGTGCTGGTTCTAAACTGCCTGCCCCATTTGTTAAAACAAAAGTACCATAGTCCACAGGGTCCCCTTCCTCAGGAAAGAGTTGTCATAACCATCTGTTGTTGCTTACGCATGCCCCTAGCATCTGCCACCCACACCAACCCAAGTGGTTTCCAATATCTCCATCATCCTCCAATGTATTCTCTGACAGGCATTCTAGTCAATTCAAAGTTCCTCATTTCACTGTTTCCAGGGACGCTTTGGTTTCCTTGACAAAGCAGTGTCAGTGAAATGGGGGTGTTGAGGAATTGGGAGCACTGAGAGGGTTTTTAGCTTAGTTAAAGCAAAACACAACCATCTTAGAATAGTTTAACTCCCTTCCTAACTACATTTCATAATTAATTACAACTTTTCAATCTCCAAAGCAGAACTTGTGCCAAAACAAAGGGAGCAACTCTCCTCCCAGGAACAAAAGGAAAATCAGTAAACAGGGATAGCTGAAACAATCACTATGTCCATAACTCAATCCCCCTAACTACCTGCAGGACTGACTCTTAACTATAGTGTACATCAGAACACCCTGAGGGGCTTTCTCAAGAAATACAGACTGTGTCTACTCCTGGAGACTGATTTAGGTAACTGGTAGCTGATCCCCACTCCAAGGACTATTACAGGAATGAAGAAAACAGCCATAAATGTCTTGTGAAAGCCACTGGTAACCACCACTGGAAAAATTAACAGTGCCTGTTAGAGGCAACATGTCTGCAGGGTCAGTACAACTGGTGATAGCAGAGTAACAGGGAAGTTCCTGAAATTCCTAGGCCTCCTACCCCATGCCCAAGATCTTTCTAAATTCCCCATCCCCTTTATCCTCCCAGAGGCAGATCTGGGAGATTCTTGCTTCCCTGTTCGCCTGTATATTGTTGTTGTTAGGTGCCATCGAGTTGGTTCGAACCCATAGCACAGCAGAATGAAACATTGCCCAATCCTGGGCCAACCTCACTAATGTTGCCACGCTTGAGTCCATCGATGCTGCCACTTGGCCAATCCATGTCGTTGGGGGGTCTTCCTCCAACATTAATTATACATTAATATACAGGTTGCCTATATATTTGTTGTTGTTGTTGTTAAGTGCCTTCGAGTCGGATCCGATCCATAGCGACCTATATATTAATGCACTACAAATGTGTTCCGCTTTGCTCTGAGCTCCGTCTCTGAGTATTGAGTATGTTAGCAGCAGGTGATCAAAACCCTTTTTTATGGTAACACCAGGCAGCTTCCTAGCCTTGCCTACCCCTTACTTAGGTTCTGTTCAGGGCAGAGTCCATTCCCCGCTAATCAGTATGCAGAGTCGCAGCCTGTAGCCTGCCTCTACAGGGCCCACTCACTCACCCCCTCCCCTTTCTCCTCCTCCTCCATTCTAATATCTGGCCCTTTAATGAGTCTGTTTCCTGACATTCACTCTTCATGGGACCTTGTGTGATAATTTACCTGTTGATAAATTTGAGAACCTCAGAGTAGGCTGAGTAATGTCCATGTTTATAAATAATCAGTACTTTTCCACATAACAAATCTTTTCTCCATCTTTGGAAAGGTAGTAAAAAGAAGTATCAACTAGGTTGCAAGCAACTTTCAAACTGAGTATATTAATATTGTTGTTATTGTTAAGTGCCACCAAGTTGGTTCTGACCCATAGTGACCTTGTACAGGGTTCTGAGGAGCAGCTGGTAAGCTTGAACTGCTGATCTTGTAGTTCAACCTGACTTTGTAGTCCAGCGCATTAACCCACAGCACCACACCAGGATCCATCCCTATGTTAACATTAATGTATGAGTATGTCATCACTGAAATATGTACTTAAGGTGACATTTTAAAAAATTAAAGTTATGTATGCTTATAATTAAAATAAAACATGCATTCACATTCTGAAAAAAGTAGAGGTACATTTAAATTATGTAAATGGAACAACGAAACTGTTGGAATAATTTTACACAAATGAATGTGAATTTTAATATCTAAATGGCTTATCTATAAAAACCTTAAACTTCGTTTTTCAATGATGCTGTGCCATCATCAGTTGAAAATATATTTGTAATTCCTCTTCTAGCATGGTCTCTAGAGTCACTCTGGTAGGCATGGAAGAAAATTAGACTCTATTTTTATAAATTTTAAATTTATTTTTATCATTATAATTATGCCTACCAAACCCAATCCTAGCTAGCTTGATCAACCCCGTCCACTTCATCCACTAACCTTGATGTCTCTATTTTAGTAACTTTTAAATTTACTTTTATCATTATAATTTTCCAATTCTAGCTAGCTTGATTACCTTCATCCACTAACCTTCATGTCAAATTGTGTTTTGCTGTTTTCCAAAACTTTTATCTGCCTTTGAAGTATAAAAATTTTTCATCAATGAAAAATGAACATGTCAAAGACATTAGTGCCAATTGCAAAATATATTAGAGAATAGTTACTTTGTTCATTTGTGAAATATAAGATGTAAATGGGAAAACACAAGGAGGAAGTAGGATAATTTTTGCTGTACGAAGGGGATTGCAAACTGAGATGAAACAAAGTGTATGCTTTGTTGAATGTAAAGCTAAAAAAACTTGTCTGTAAACCTTTACTCAATTCACAATAAAAAGTTAAAAATAAATAAAATAATTAATTAAATACAAAAAATAGAATCATAAGAATAAGTAAATTATTTTCTAAAACAAAGACTTCAAAAGGTTATATCATTCTAACTTTTGGTATTTTGTTTTCAAATCAGACACACTACTTTCTGATATGCTCTCTGAATACTTTTTTGATTGTTTTATTAACTTTCTGAAAGTTTTTAACGTCAAGTAAAATGAAATTTATTTCCTACATAACAGCAAAATAGCTAAGTTTATAAAAATGTAAATGGTTGCTAAAAAGCTGACATTGTAATTTATTATTATTTTGTTTCAACAGGTGAGAATTTAAGAATTGCACTGATAACATATTCGTAGCATTCTAATATGCACTTCTCCCTCTACCTGCAATAACCAGTTCCTGTTCCTGGGAGTAATCATTGTTACTCCTTCTTATATATCATTCCTGAGGAATTGGGTGCATGTGGCACTGTGGGGTTAATGCGCCTGACTGCAAAATCGCTTTGAACCATAAAGTCAGCAGTTCAAGCTCACCAATTGCTCTTTGGAAATCCTATACAGGGTTGCTATGCATTGGACCAACTCTATGGCACTTCACAACAACAACATAGCTTACGTGGTAGCTTATACCCCTTAAATTCTTTTTAACACAAATGATAGCATGTTATACATAGATTGGCAATCCCCCCCCCCACACACACACTTAACTGTATATATTAGAATCCATTCTGCTAAGCTTGTTGTTAAGTATTTTGGGCTGTTTTTCCACAATGTAGCAAATCAGCAAATTACCTTATGCCTCTTATGAGCCACAACATACATAGTTGGCTATGCTCAGGCCTAAGGAAGCTAGTTTTTTGCTTTTTAAATTAAATTGTCATTTCAGAGGTCAACTAACCATAGTCAAATCCTGAAATGAAATAACCTAGCTGGTTCAGATAAAATAATTTACCTTAAATGTAGCAAAGGCATCTGAAGCAATATCAAATGTTGACAACTCCACATACTTAAAGAAATCTCTGAATTGATTAGAAAAGAGGATGATTTTGGCAAGTGGCTCATGTCGAATACATTCTCTCAGCATTATTCCACAACGTAAGGCAATCTGTGGGGCTTCATATCTAGAACATAAACAAGAGAAAACAGAGAACTGTGTTATCCTATCATCACTCCCATTCATATTAATACTATCAAAAGAACAATTTCAACATAGGTATTCCATGGCTTAGGAGGTACTCAAGTTATGAAATGCACTTACAACCATCTATCTTTTTTACATCTTATTATTAGTATGCGCTACTACATACAGTGTTGCTGCACATAAAAGAACCATATAGACAACTCTCAGTACTTTCTGACTAGGAATATCACCTCTATCCCCAGGGATAATCTAGAACCTTCCACAAGTGGTATTAACATGTGACAAAATGCCAATGTAGTTCATTTTCTTTATGAACATGTGCATTTTTAATGTATTAAAGTATCTATTTATTGATAATTATATGCATTTCATATATATATATCTGATCCCTATCATTTTTCTGGACTCTAGTAGGTATATCCTACTAAGAGACATTTCTACTTAGATAATCAGACATTTTGGAACGTTAATGTGATTAAAAACAACTCTTGATTTCTTCACTCTCCCAGTTAGTTCATCTCTATAAATGATACCAGCATCCACCATCCTGTGGCATTGTAGGATAAGCACTCGACCATAACGTCCATTTGAACCACAAGGTTGTCGGTTCAAACTCACCAGCCACTCCTTGGAAAACCTATACAGGGTGGCTATGAGTCAGAACTGACTCGATGGCACCTGGCAACAACAACATTACACTAGGTCTAAATTTCTATGGACTGTTTCTAACCTCCAAAGATAAATAAAGATTGGATTTATAAAGATGCTAATACAAGGCAATAATAATGAAAATTTTAAAAAAAGGAAAAAAAAAGAGGTATTCAATAGAAGCATAGCTGCCACTTGTTACATAGTTTATTCACACACCAGTCACACAATAGTAAACATGACAAGATCACTGCCTTGATAGCAATCGTATTACCTAGTGAGTGTGGGCAAGGTTTGGGGAGAAGGCAGACTTCAAACAATGGCACAGTCATTTCATTTACTGACAACAATCCATTAGGTAATATACAGAGTATGACTTGGGGACTACTTTAGATTGAGTGGTCTGGAAAAGGACAAGACGTTCTGGGAAAACGCTCCAAGGCAAGCACAAGCTTGACCAGTGTGCTTGGGACACAGAGGAAGAGTAGTGAGTATAGGCAGGAAGGTACAAATGAGACGTGCAGGTTTCCATCAGAGAGCACTTTGTAAAACAAAGTAAGAAGTTTAGCTTTTAAGAGTGACGGGAACTGACCACCTAAGACAGGCAGCATCCCTTAAACAATCAATCAATAAGGAGGATTCAGATGCAGACAGTGCAGACCTGGTCAGGAGGCCAAGCCCCTGTGGGCCCAAGCGTTGTTGACCGTCCAAACCATAGGCTCTGAGGATCAGACTCTAGCTACCTAGTAGACATAGCAAACTGTCCCTCATCTGATTATTCAGTAATGCTTGTTAGTAATCTCATACATGAGCCCTGGATATCCACAGACAAATGTAAAAACCTTCCCTAAAAGCCGAGACTGTAAATTCCAAAAAGGCAAGCCCCCCCCCCATCCAAAAAAAAAAAAAAAAGCTAAAGAGGATAGAGAGAAACACTGTAAACTGATGATATATGGCGGGGATAATAATCAATGTAATGAAACAAGCTATATGAATGGTTGAATGTGAAGCTGATGATGTGCCCTGTAAACTTTCACTCAATGCAAAATAAAAACATTTAATTAAAAAAAAAAAAAAGAGTGATGGGAAGCCACTGGGAGGTTTTGTTTTGTTTTAATAAGGTTTTTATTGTGGATTGAGTGAAAGTTTACAGGGAAGATCATCAGTTTTACATTCAACAGATCACACACCTTGTTTCATTACAATGATTATAATCCCCCTCCATGTACCATCAAGTATTTCTCTCTATTCAATTTAGCTTTTTTTTTTTTTTAAAAAAAAACACTCAGGTATATATAATAATTTACACCACCAAAGGTCACATTCTACAAGTCTACCTCCTGGCCGTTGTCTCTTAGTCCCTCTCTTTCCATGAATCTAGAGTCCTCAGATGCTCCCTCTCTCCATGTCCCCATCTCTGCCTCCATCTCCGGTGTCACTGCTTCTCTGGATAAGGTCCCGCGCATTCTGCCTGTGCTCTTCTCCCCTGATGGTCTCAGGGTCCTCTGTTTCTGGACTGTAAGATTAACTATTTCCCTGTTTTTGTTATAAAACTTCTACTTTTATAATTATGACTGTCGCAATAAGTCATACTAACAATTACTATTGAATCATAAGACTCTTATCCCCATCTCTTTTAACCAGACCCATCTAGACAAGATGAAAACTATTCAGTGGGGACTCTTTCTTTCCCCACACACTATTAAACTAAACTCCCCCTTGAAACCTTGTAAGCGAGTCACTTCGTGCCTTTATCGTCCCCTCATTTTAGGTGGTGGTGGTTATGTGCCGTGGAGTCACTTTTGACTCATAGAGACCCTGTACAGGGTTTCCGAGGCTATTAATCTTTATAGGAGCAGAAAGCCTCATCTTTCTCCTGTGGAACAGCCGGTAGTTTCGAACTGCTGACCCTGAGATTAGCAGCTCGATTCATAGCCACTACGCTACCAGAGCTCATTTTAGGTAGCCAATGTCTAAGTTGCCCATCCATATCTACCCTGTGTACAGAGGGGATAGCATTGATACTTGATGTGAAGACTCCTTCCCACTCTGTTAGTATTTGAAACTACCAGCTGTTCCATGGGAGAAAGATGAGGCTTTCTGTTCCTGTAAAGATTTACAGCCTCAGAAACCCTGTACAGGGTTGCTATGAGTCAGAACTGACTCCATGGCACATAACCACCACCACCATCACACCTCTATGAGTATAGGTCAAGTTCATCAAATTGTAGCAATTTACCCTCATTTCCTTTATCAAAAATTGTTTTTTTTTCTTTTAATCTTCCTCTAGTTGACTTCTGATTATCAAGCCATTGAAGCTCGGTGAAATGGGTACCATCTACAACTTTAGGTGTTCTTGTGCATTTCCTCTCACTTTATATCAGCCGGGTGCTTCACTCACAGCTCTAGCCCTCTGTGGCTATATGCTTGTCCCTGAGTTCAGGTGTTCCTAGGTCCATCGGAAGTTTTAAGCAAGCAATTAACATGGCCATTGACTGCCAAATCTGCGTTGGAAGAAGTACAGCCAGAATGCTCCTGAGAAGCCGGGATGGTGAGTCTTCATCTCTCATACTTCCGACATATCATCAGGAGGGACCAACCAATCCCTGGAGAAGGATGTCATGCTTAGTAAAGTGGAGGGTCAGTGAAAAAGAGGAAGATCCCAACAAGATGGAGTGGCACCGTAGCAGCAGCAATGGGCTAAAGTATAGCAATGATTGGTGCAGAACCAGGCTGTATTTTGTTCTGTTGTGCATAAGGTCGCTATGAGTTAATACTAACTCAATGGCACCCAACATCAAGAAGTTTCTGTTTAAGGAACCTTGGTAGCATAGGGTTGGGCTGCCTGTGCAAGGTCCACAGTTTGAATCCATGAGAGAAAGATGAGGCTTTCTGCTCCCATAAAGGTTTGTTGTTGTTGTTAAGTGCCATCGAGTCGGTTCCGACCCATAGCGACCCTGTACAGGGTTTCCAAGGCTGTAAATCTTTACGGGAGCAGAAAGCCTCATCTTTCTCCCGCAGAGCGGCTGGTAGTTTAGAACTGCTGACTCTGGGGTTCACAGCCCGATTCGTAACCACTACGCTACCAGAGCTCCTTGGGTTTACAACTGTGGAAACCCTATGCAGGGTCTCTGTGAGTCAGAACTGACTTTAAAGCATGCAGCAGCTGCAGCTGCAGTTTCTGTTTGAAAATGCTCTGGCTATTTGTGGAGAGTTTATCTTAAAGTGGAAAGGAATGTGCTAGGAAATCACCTAGAGAGGGCAGACTAAGTATAAGCAAGAACAGAATTCCAGTTAGAGATGGCAGCTTGCAGTGGAGCAGCAGTGAACTACACAGGACTGTAGAAAATTGTTGGGAAGAAAAGTCAACAGGTCTTACTGATATTATATCTGGGGAACAAATTCAGTGTGAAATGAATTTAGGATTTAAGAATAATTACGCTTTGGTGGATGCTGGTATCACTTATTAAGATGCATTAACTAGGAGACTGAAGAAATCAAAAGTTGTTTTTGACCATGGTAACTTTCCAAAATGTCTGATGTTTAAGTAGCGATGTCTCTTAGGCAGTAGAATATATCTCCTGGTGTCCAGAACACAGATAGGGGTCAGATTTATATATGTGAAATGCATATAATAGATGATCAATTGTTATTGTTGTAGTGAAGTGCCGTCGAGTCGATTCTGACCCATAGTGACCCTGTATAGGGTTTCTGAGGAGCAGCTGATGAGCTTGAACCCCTGATCTTGCAGTTCAAATGACTGCAGTCTGGCGCATTAACCCACAGCCCTAAACCAGGACTCCAGATGATCAATAAGTAGATATTAACTGACTGACTCAGTGAAATCATGAAATGGAATTGTGGCTGATGGCAAAATAATGTTAGAATTACACTGTCTATTACTATGTTGGAAGCACTGTTTTTTTTTTAGAATTAGATCATATCTCCTTCAGCCTTACTTGTTGTTTTTTATTAAGTGCTGTCAAATTGATTCTAATTCATAGTGACCTTATATGGGGTTTGCTAGGAGCAGCTGGTGGATTTGAACTGCTGACTTTGTGGTAAGCAGTCTAGTACTGATCCTACACTGCCACACATTCCCTTTAGCAGTGAGTTTTTAAAAATTATTTTTTTCAAATATTTATTATAATTTAATTTGATCGTTCTTTTGACAGATCTTAAGATACAGAATTACCTCTTTTTTTCTTAAGCTTTCATTGTGAACCTAGTGATAGTTTTCATGGGAGAACATCAGTTTTGCACTCATCCTATAGTATTTTGTTTCATTGCAATGATTACAATTCCCTCCTCCATGCATCATCATAACAGTATTTCTTTCTATTCCCTGTTTTTCATTTTTTCGAGGTACACAAAAAACATTTAATCATTTAAACAACCAAAGGGCATGTTCTGCAAGCCTGCCTCCTGGCCATCAGCACACAGTCTTTCTCTTTCCATGAGTCTAGAGGCCTCAGCTGCTCCCTCTCTCCATGTCCTCATCTCTGTCTCCATCTATGGTGTCACTGCTTCTCTGGTTAGGGTCCCACATTCCACTCATACTCCTCTCCCTTGATGGTCCCAGAGTCCACAGCTTCTGGAATGTAAGAGTAACTACTTCCCCCTTTATGTCACAAAACTTCTACTTTTACAGTTATGACGATTGCAATTAGTCATGATAACAATTACTCACTATTGAATCAAATGAATCCTATCCCCATCTCCTTTCACCAGACCTGTCTAGACAAGATGAAAACTATTCAGTGGGGATTCTATCTTGTTGAGGACCACAAGCACTGAGATGCTGAGGCCCTGTGTCATG